GGGATTCGTGGTGAGAATTCTGTTTGTTGCGTTGTTAATGTTGTTGCTGCTGTTGAACTCTCATTCTTGAAGAATAATTATTGTTGATCCCCCCCCACCGGTGCACATTGATTTTTTTCGATTGAAGTGCCACCCCCGGGGCTCGCACTTGGTTTTTTCTCAAGGAAAGTCTTCCTGCTCAAACTGTGCCCCTGCCCCCCAGGCTACAACAACAACGGCTCCCGCCTGAGACTTCCTCGATTTTTACTCAGGACCCCCGCTCCCGCCTGAGACTTCCGCGCAATTTACTCAGGAAAGGCGCTCCCGTCTGAGACTTCCTCGCAATGTAATCAAGACCCCCGCTCCCGCCTGAGACTTCCGTGCAATTTACGTGGGAACGGCGCTCCCGCCTGAGACTTCTTCGAATTTTACTCAGGACCCCCGCTCCTGCCTGACATTTCCGCGCAATTGACTCAGGAACGGCGCTCCCGCCTGAGACTTCCTCGCAATTTAGTGAGGACCCCCGCTCCCGCCTGAGACTTCCGTGCAATTTGCTCAGGAACGGCGCTCCCGCTTGAGACTTCCTCGCAACTTAGTCAGGGCCCCCGCTTCCGCCTGAGATTTCCTTCACAATGTACTCAGGACTGCGCTCTCGCGTGCGACGTCCTCACAAATTATTCTGGAATTGCGTTTCGGCGCTCAGGAACCACGCACGCGCCAAGGACGCCTTCACAACGTGGTATCTTCCCTCTTCCTTCGTCCTTCCCCCTCCCCTTCCTCCCACTCTCCCTCGTTCTTCCCCTCCTCCTCTTGCAGGGCCCGCGCCAATTCCAATGGCGGGCAGAGAGATGTACGCCCCCGAAGGATTGTCCGCCCGTTCCGGTTTGCCCGTACGTCTAAGCCCGCCGGCCCCAGCAAAGAGAAATAATCCCCCCGAAAGGGGTGTGATCGAAGACGAAGAGGGCGGGTATCGAGGGTGTAGGGTATACGTGTTGAATGACTCGCGGGCAAGTAAGAGCGTACAGCCTTAAAATGGTTGTTGTGTTGTTGTTGTTTTGTTGTTGAACATTATTAATTCTAAAGAATAATTATTGTTGGGCCCCCTGGTGCACGCCCCCCCCCCCGCCTAGGCCGCAGCTACATTTTCATCATTTTCGTGAGGAAGCCTCAGGTAAAACGATGTGATCCAGATCCGGTTGTTTTGTTGTAATCCGTTTTCCCTTGCAAAAAACACTATAAAATGACATTTCTTGTTCTAATATAATCAAATTTCAAGAATCCCTTGCAAAAAATAAGGTAAAGTGGACATTCGCGCGCGCAAGACGAAATCCTTCCAAAACCTTAGTTTTCGTAGCGATTTGTTAATAAAAACATCAAAAAACCAATGGTTTGTTCAAAAAAAAACGTCAAAATCTCATCCCGCGCGCTCTTGCGGATTCGTAGGAAACCCAACACTTTTTAAACATTTCTGTCAAACGGGCTTTTGCGAGCAACTTTTTCGAACTTCTGCGACAACGGTTGCGCACCTGCCAGGGCCATCATCCCTGTCAAATAAGACCATGCGGGACACATTCGTTTTTTCTTCGCGCGCGCACGCCGTCGTCGTCGGCCGCGGGGCCCTGAATAGTAGCCACGGTCGTCCGCATGCCACGAAGTGAAGTGTCCGAACGTCATAGGGCGGGAAGCTGGGTGTGGGTGGTGGCGAAGAGTCGTTTGGAAATTTGGTAGAGCTTGAACCGGCCCCCTCACAAAGTGGGGGTATTGCCCGCCTCCTATGAAAACCCTGGCACTGGTGAGAACGGAGTGTCCCCAGTCTTAAATGATTGTTGCTGTTGTTGTTGTGGTTGTTGTTGTGGTTGTTGCTGTTGTTGTTGTTGCTGTTGTTGTGGCTGTCGCGACCCACCCCGCGACCCGCCCGCAACCCACCCGCGACCCGACCCGCGACCCACCCGCGACCCACTCCGCGACCCACCCGCGACCCCACCCGCGACCCAACCCGCGACCCACCCCGCGACCCACTCCGCGACCCACCCGCGACCCATCCCGCGACCGGCTCGCGACCCGCTCGCGACCCACCCCGCGACCCACCCGCGACCCACCCCGCGATCCACCCGCGACCCACCCGCGACCCACCCGCGACCCACCCCGCGCCCCACCCTCAAGGGAGGAAAACCCCCCCGGACCCAACAATTGCCTTTTATTAAAACGGCCGTAGGCGTTGACTAAACAGCCCTGCTCTGTTCGATTCATTCCTTGTGTGCGTTGTTTCGCATGTCGGGGTGATTATTATGGGGTGGATTTTCTGCCCTCTACACCCGCGACCCACCCGCGACCTAACAGCGACCCACCCGCGACCCGCCCGCGACCCACCCGCGAACCACCCGCGAGAGCCACCCGCGACACACATTGGTTTAATGAGAAATAAGCGCCTGCGGTGTGGCGCCTGGGGCGGGCTTCTCTCCGAGGTCACGTGCAAACTGCCGACAGCCCCACCGCCCCTCACTCTTATCCGCATCTGCGGGGTGCTACGTTATATATATACATCACTGTAGACACATACTAATATATATATATAGTATATTATATATATATATATATATATATATATATATATATACGTAAGTAGATGTATATGTATGTATACATGTAGGTGTATATACACATGAGAGAGAGGGAAGAGAGATGAGAGATGAGAGAGAGAGAGAGAACGAGAGAGAATGAGAGTGAGAGAGAGAGGGTGAGAACGAGCGAGCGAGCGAAAAACGGACATCTGGAGACAATATTGTAGTTGAAGTGGGTGGAGCTGGTCCAGGGGAGGTCGAGCGGCGGCAAGGCCAGCGTGTTCTGCGCCAACACCTGGTGCCGCCCTGACTGAAGTTGAGACGAGCCCAGATTGGCCCGCATGACTTGCATATACGATCCGTGCATGATGTCGTCAAGCTTGGCCTTGCGTTCGAATTGTGTGGTCAAGCGTGGCCCCACCCAGGGCCCGACTCACGCGCATGCGTCTTGTGCACAGTATGCTCGCGCATTCGCAATTGAGTTGCTGCTTGCACGCGCGTCCATCAAGCTATGCACCCCGCGTGCGCTCCTCCTTGCGCTAGCCCAACATTGCGCTCCAGCCCTCGTCTCCCCTCCCGCTACTCTTCCTCCCCGCTTCGGAAACGAATCCACGCCGACACAGGAGGAGCCAGCAGGAGGAGGAGGAAAGGAGGACGAGGAGGAGGAGGAGGACGAGGAGGAGGAGGAAGAGGATGAAGCGGATAAACAGGACTTTGATTTTTATCATTTCGGGGGCGAACCTCAGCAAAGCGAGCTAAATCAGCATGGAGCCGACCTTCGAGCTAAGCTCGAATGGATGCCGTTGCAAATTCGGCCCCACCGAGCTTGCCTCAGATGGGGGAAGCAGGGGGAGGGAGGAGGAATTGGAGGGGGGAAGTCCCTGACGCTCAGGGTTTGCCAGGTCCTGGCGAAAACTGCACTTCTAGTCTGAAGCATGCGCCCGACCTTCCACGACCGCCCCCGTACAACTTACTTCCATTCCGAAAACAGAGAAGCTTGCAAGACGCCAACCTGCAAGTTTGGACTTTCTTACACCAGCGATTCGGTGACTGGAGAAGGTACCAGAAAGGCTTACCAATGGCAGCCTTGGCCTGGATTGCTGGGGTGGTGCGGCTGGGAGAAGCACTTCTGTCCGTAACAATTTTGGCTCGAGCGCGTGCTTTCGTTCAGAGGGGGGGGGTCTTGTATGTCCAGGTGCTGGCTGTTCTCGTTGGTGTGAGCGATTGTGCAATCGGCCCCTCGATGGCAGGGCGCGCGTCGCACCCTGACGACAGCGCCATCGTCATGACATACATGAACCATCTACCGTGCTGCGCCACAACCCCTAACCTACCCAAGCCCCACCCCTCTTTGGCAGCAGCGCCATCCTGGCACGGAACAGAAAATCGAAGGAACAAGACTAGGGGCGCCTGTCCAGGGACTTGGCCTGCAGCGACGTTGTCGTGCCAGGGGGGCCCAGCGCAGCCGAGGCCTTCGGGCTGCAGCCCGCGCCAAAGTCGCTGGAATTCCCGAGGGGCGCTTCATGGCGGCCGCCGCAGCCCAATAATCTTTTTGGCTCGCGGCCGCCCGCGTCTCCCTCCGCGCCCTTGCCGCGCAAGGTCCAGGACCCCGTGCGTCGTGCCGCCGTCGAGGGGCGGCAGCGGCTGGAACGCCACCCTCGCAGCTGCGCCAATTTCTGGCTCCAGGGCCGGCAGGTGTTTGGCGATGAGGGAGGTTCGGCCAATTTGATGCGGCGTTGCACTACCTGCATCTCCCAGCGCTTGTAGCACGATTCCTGGGGGCCGCTCGTCGAGGCCGCGCGTCTGACGGGCATCGGTAATTTGGCAACCGTTCGCTCTGACATGGTTGGTGAGATCTGCGAGGCGGCTCGTCGCTCCCGCGGGAACTCCCGCGCCTTCTGCTCCGCCAACTTGCTGCATTTCAGGACCACCGACTACGCCAAATTGGCGATGGGCGTGGCGAGGCTCGCCGATTCCATGGGCCAAGCCCACGAGGTCTATGACTCCCTGGATCCTCACGGGTGCCACGAAGGAAGCTTTCGGCGTGGAGGCGCTCGCGTTTTTGGTGGCCGAGTGGCCGTGGATCCCCCCTTTTGCCGCGGGCCCCGTCTCTGTCGCGCTCGGAACCAGGACCTTGCAGCCCCTGGTCGCTCGGCTACTGCGGCCTGCCCCAGCTGGTCTTGTTCGGCGTCTTTGGTCTCGCCGCCTACCGACGCTACAGCGGCTGTTTCGCTGGTTCCGTTCATAACTACGCGCTTCTCACCGCGGTCGGCGCCGCGTTCTTTTCGCGGGCCGGGGTGCCGAGGCGTTTCCCGGCGACCGCGAAGGCCCCCCACCCGCGGCAGAATCCCCGCCCCCGCCTCGCCCCGAGGTCGCGGCAGCCAGGGAGGGGGCCTGTGAAGAGGGCAAGGGCGGTTCTTTTGGCACGACGGCTCCTCCCAGATCTGCGGCTTCCACGAGGGCTCGATGCGCCGCCCGCGTGGCCATGAACGCCACCGTCGCCGCCGCGGTCCGGATCGCCATCTACAGGTGCTGCGACGCGGGCGGCCCGCGCGACGGCACCCTGGCCGACCTCGTGTCGATCATGGCGCCGCGCGGCAGCGCGGTGTCTGGCAGCGCGCTGGCGATCGGATTTCTCGGCGCTTGCGCGCGCCAGTTCGCCTCCACGCTGCTCCGCAAGCTCGAGATCGATGACCCGGTGGGCGCGCCCCAGGTCCAGGGCGCCCGCGGCATTTGGGGCGCGATCGCCACGGTCATTCTCGACGCGGGGCCTGGGTGAGCGCCACCTCCACGGCTGGGGCGGTTTCGGTTGCATGGCCGCCGACGGCGGCGATTGCCAGGGGCGGTTTGTTCGGCGACGCCCTCGCAGCGCACCTCATCGAGATCGCCGTCGTCGTGGTCTGGCATGGGTATCTCTCCGAGTCGCCTTCTCTTGGCTCAAGCGGACTTGGCCCCCTGCGCATCGACGGCGCCGCGGGGCCGCCGAGCCGCCCGATGTCGGGCCGCCCGACGCCCGCGGCCCCCCGTCCGATGAGCCCTTCGACAGTCTGCATCGCGCAGTCCGATTTCTATCCGCCCCTGAAGCCTTCTCTTCGGAGCGATGACTCCACTGGGTCGGCGCGAAACCCGAAGAAGGTCGCTTCAACAAACAACGCGCGCACGCACACGCGCGCACCAACCACAGACAAACGCCATGGAGGTTTGGGGTGAACCGCAGAAGCCACCGCGTCGAACTACACTTTGAATGTCATGGGCCGCCGCCGCCCTGCAGACAAGCCGCGGGGGTCAGGCGAGCGCCCGCTGCAGTAAATCGGCGATTGAATTGCTCGTGCCAGTTGTGAAAGTGGGAGGTCAGAAGCACGGGATATACCACAAGCGGAGTCGTTGTTGCCAGGAGAGCAAGTGCACGTCTCCTCTCCTCGCCCCCTTCCCCGCCCACCCCCCCCCCTCTCCCGCCCCCCCATCCCCCCCCAGCGGTGTCGGGGCAGGGCCCTCGGCAACTGTGGGCGGCTACCGCGCTGGAGCCCTGGCGCCGCCCCGACCGCGCCGTCCGCGCGTTGCTGCCCGTTTGCTGCACCGGGCGTCTCGTTTTGGCGCAGCCGCAATTTTTTAGTTTCAAGTTCGCCGCAGTGTCTTCGCTCGTCGCCGACTCCATGGTCGCGCGCATTCTGTCTCGCGGCGCCTGCGCATCTCGCGCTATTCATTGGCGCGTGCCTTCGCCTTCTGAGCTGTCTTTTTGCTCAGCCGCCGGTCCCCAACTCTTCTGCGCGTTGCGCGCTGCCCCCCGCCGCGCGGCTGAGGAAGCGCGTCCGCGGCGAGCTTCTGCTTTCGCCCGCCCCGCCCGCCCTGCCGGCGCGGCCCGCGCTGCGCATGCTCTTCCCAGCGTGTCCGGCTGTGCTTGTGCAGTTCGCGTCTCATGTCAGTCGTTTCTCCCGTGGCGACCGCATTCGACATTTCGCTTCTCTGTCTTCCCTTTTTCGCTTTGGCACATTGTGTCTCAGAGCTTCTCCTCGTCGGACGCTTTCCGCGCCCTGTATAGGGTCGTTTCGGCCGAGACATTGTCTGCGCACCTTGGTCGACGCGCGCTTCGTCGCGCGCGGGCGGGCCCGTTCGCGGCGCGCGGAGCTGGCGAACGTTGGGGCGGCTGGCGCTGACGGAGGAGAAAACGACAGCGATCGGTTGTGCTGGACGCACATCGCAGCAACAGCATCAGCAGCAGCGCGCTACTCGAGCGGCGCTCCGGCGCTGCTGGGCCGACTGCGGCCGCAGATGTGGACGGCGGGCCGGGGCTGCGGGGTGCGCGACCTCCTCCTTGCAGACCAGGCCCCCGAAGAAGTTTTCAAGACACCCCCCAAGGCAGCCAAAAAGCATCGAATCGCACCGAAGAGGAGTTCAAGCGGCCCCGGCCGTAGCATCGGGGCGCTCCGCGGCGGCCCCCGCAGCCCAGGAATCCCCTCGGCTCGCGGCCGCCCGCGTCTGACTCCGCGCCCTTGCCGCGCAAGGTCCAGCGCCCCGTGCGTCGCGCCGCCGTCGAGTGGCGGCAGCGGCTGGAACGCCGCCCTCGCCGCCGCGCCAATTCCTGGCCCCAGGGCCCGCAGGTGTTTGGCGATGGGGGGGGGGGGGGTTCAGCCCATGGGATGCGGCGCTGCATTACTTGCGCCCCCCAGCGCTTGGAGCGCGATTCCTGGGGGCCGCTGGTCGTCGAGGCCGCGCGTCTGACGGGCATCGTAATTTGGCAACCGTTCGCTGTGACATGGCTGGTGAGATGCGCGCGGCGGCTCGGCGCGCCCTCTGCTCCGCCGACCGTCTGCGCCCCAGGGCCACCGACTACGCCGAATGGGCGATGGGCGTGGCGGGGCGCGCCGATTCCACGGGCCAAGCCCGCGAGGTTTTTGACTTTGCAGTCCCTTGTCGCTCGGCTACTGCGGCCCGCCCCAGCTGGTCTCGTTCGGCGTCTTCGGCCGCGCCGCCTACCGCCGCGACAGCGGCTGCTTCGCTGGCTTCGCTCGCGCCCGCGCGTTTCCCGCCGTTGGCGCCGCGTTCTTTTCGCGAATTCGGGCGTCGAGGCGTTCGCGACGACCGCGAAGGCCCCCCCCCTCCCGCGGCAGAATCCCCGCCCCCACCTCGCCCCGAGGTCGCGGCGGCCAGGGGGGGGGGGGGCGTGTGAAGAGGGCAAGGGCGGTTCTCTTGGCACGACGGCTCCTCCTGGATCTGCGGTTCCCACGAAGGCTGAGAGCGCTGCGCCTGGCGATGCAACGGCTGCTCCTGGCATGGCCGTTCCGGCCGGAGGAGCAGAAGGGGCCGCCGCTCGGGCTGCCCCACCTGCGCCTGGGCCGCCACCGCCCCCCGCTTCTGTCTTTCATTCGGATGGCCAAACCGACGGGTCTGGGGGCCTCCCCCGCGAGTCCAAAGCAGCGCAGAGAGCGCCCGCCTGCGACCTTCCAGGGTCATGACCCCTTCGACGACGCCGGCGATCATGACGCGTCTGTCGGCGAGCGCAGTGGCTATCCGAGCCATCGCATGGCTGACCCGCGATGTTCCGAGGGACTGGCGGTCAGCGAAGTCAGCCAGGCACCCGCGTGCAATCGCGGGCCCGCCACTCAGGATGAACAGGTCACAAGTGATGACGCGAGGGCCTCCTCGGCAGCGACCGAGGCCGCTGCGCGAGGGTCGACCGCGGGCTTGGGTGGGGATCTTCCCATGAGGGGTCGTGTTATTTCCAAGCTTGGTGGTGGCATAGCGTGGATAGTGGTACTTCCAGCGTGCTCACATGTCCAAGTCGGGGGATCATACTTTCATGAGGGTGGCTGCCATTCCCAACGCACGTGGCCCAGCGGGGGAGGTCGGCCCCCAGCTACTTCGGATCGCAGCCCCGACTCGGCGCACGCGCGGTGCGCCAGCATAAGCGAGACGGCCCCATAGCAGCCTCATTCATGCGCGGCGCTGCCAATCTTCGAGACGGCAGCACTGTCGGAGACGCGCGCGGCCTCCGAGGGCACGGCGAAGGCGTGCGCGCTGATCGCCCGGGGTGCTTTCTGGGGCTTTGCTAAAACACTTTGCATCTAAAGAAGGGCAATGCGGTTTGGTTGTCTGCTTACTTGTTCCCAGGTGCCAAGACGGGGGGCTCGAAGCCATCGGCGTACTTGGTCCCGGGTGCCAAGGCGGGTGCTTCGACCGACTCTTGGACGACCTGCGCCGCCTGGGACATCGCGCCCCGCGTTCTCGTCAAGAGCGGCCTCTTGGACTCGTTGGGCGGCGAGCTAGTCCTGCCCCGGGGTTGCCGGTCTGCTTGCAGCATGGGCAGTGGCTCGCGGATCGATTACTTGGTCGTCAGAAGGGGGGGTGCCGAGCTACTTCGAGCGCGCCCCTTCTACGGGGGCCCCATGGAACGCCCGCGTGGGCCTAGACATCGAGATATTGCAAGGTCATGCTGGCTGCCGGCGCCCAGCCCCGTGAGCCCCCAAAGACTTCCCACGGGGACCTGGGTCTAAGAAGCAGGCATGCCCCGATCGCAAGCGGTCTCGACGCCGCGAGGAGGCACGTTCCCATCAACGGGCTCGACTCGACGCTAGCCTCCAGGAAGTTCTCGACGTTGCCAGTCCTCCTGATCACGAGGCTACCGTTGAGCGTGACAGCGTCGTTCTCTTCCTGGACGACGATGCGTGGACGGCGGCTCGCGCGCCCCAGCTTCTGCCGATTGGTCGGCGGCGCGGGGCTTCGCCCCGCGCTGCGAGCGGCCGCGGCGCCCTCGCTGTGGGCGGCGATTCTCGAGGACACCATCGCCGAAGCAGAGCGCGCGCACTTGGGGCATCGCGCGTCTTACTGCGGTCGCGCCCAGCTGCGCGCGCTGGAATGGAAAAGGCTGCAGCACTCGCACGGGCGGTGGCGCGTCCGCAGTCCACGTATGAAGTTCTGGTGGGCCGCGTCGATTCTAGTCGCGAGGTTTCAGTCCTTGCGCAGGCACGGCAGGGGCCCTGAGCAGCAGTCCATGGCGGTACCTTCGATTTCCAGCAGGATCGGCCAGGCCGATGATCAACCGCGCGCTGAGCTGTCTGGTCCTAGGGCAGCGGGCGCAGACATCGACGATTGGTTCGGCCTCCTCTCCATAGCCGCGGCCCGTCGAGGTCCGCGGATGAACTCGACTCGTCAACGACTGCGACGGGCCGCTGGGTGGCCAGATCGCGGGGCAGGGCGTCGGCGTCACGCCGCGCGGCTTTCGTGATCTGGGATCGCGACAGTTGGCGCAGCAATCCGCCCCTTGAGCATCGTCACTCCTGACCCGCGCCAGGGGGCACCCCTTATCGAACCCCTCAATTGCAGCGCGGTTTCCACGTTTGGTCGGGAAAACGTCGGGGAGCAGGGCCCCAGGCGTTGCGCCCCCTGTCCTCTGGGCTCCCAGAGTCTCCCGCAGGCTGGCGCCTTCAGTTCGTGGGCGTCCTCGCCGTGGCTGAGGCGGCTTCTGCAGCAGCTGCCCGCCGTCGGTGCCACCGTTCCAAAACCATCTTGCGGCGATCGAGTCATTGGAGTTCTTCCGGCCCCCATGCGATCTGGCGTCGGGGGCGAGATCCCATCGCGGACCAATGTTTTGAAAACCTGGGTGAGTTTCGGGGCACAGCTATCCGACCCGAGCGTCGTCCTTAACAGCTGCCTTGCAGAGGGCCATCGTAGATGAGTCCCCCCACCTTCTATAGGAGTTGTCTCCGCTTCTGTCCTTTCCGATCCTGATATTCTACGATCGCGCGAGTCTGCGTCTTTTCATGCGTGTTTCTGTAGCCAGGAGATTCCCAACCATGGAGACTTTACTGGAGGCGCAGGTGGCCCTGGCTCTTAAGATTATTCGCTTTAGGTCGGGTCGTCCCTGATGTTTCCCATACGTCCATTGTGGCTGGATCAGCACACGGGGTGAAACTTGCCAAGATGT